ATCCTGAGACAGCCATTGTTCTGCTGTCTGTACCAGGAACTCCCACAGGTTGTATTGAGTCCAGAATAAACAGGCTTTGTTAGCTTCAGAGTAAAGGTCTCTAGTGAAGAGTCCAAAAGACTCTGTTGTTAAGGGAACATCAAGCACAAATGCATCAATTAGGTAAGTAGCTAGAAAAACGATTCAGGACTAAGACAGGATTCTCTCTCCTTATGTTCCTAGAGGGTCTTGCTTTCAGGAATGCCAAGCTGGATTTAATTGAGCATACCTGTGATTCAATATGACAGCCACCATGGCTCATCCTATTTCAGAACTGGATGGTATTGTCCACATACCTTCTCTCCTCTATAGATCGTATCCTGGGAAGGATGGTCAAGTGCAATCCACATCCAATGGACATTTTACTTGATAAACTCTCAAAATAATTCAATGCTCAGAATGTGTTTCTTGCTTTAAAAATAGGAAAGCTCTAGTTCTGATGTGCACATGAGTGAGAATTGATGCTGTCCTCCCTCAGCTTCATCTGAGACAGACCTGTGTGATAGTGACTATGTACAGCTTTAGAGTAGAATACCTGTGCTTTCCAAATGACCTCAGTTCCCTAGCTTTTCATCCTAGTCTACCTGAGCCAGAGGAAGGTATTTAAGTGACAATTAAGAGGGACCAAAGTCTTCTATTTTCTAGCTGGAAACAGAGGCAGTCTGAGGTAACCCTGCTTGGGCTCCTAGTCCAGTAGAGGAGTTAATATGGAGACTTGTTCTAATTATAGAAATGGTCTGGATGACAGGCCATAGGATACAGGACATAGAACTGTGTTTCAATCTGAGATTAAAAAATATTTTTTTCAGAGACACTTGGTGGTGGTACACACCTTTAATCCCAACACTCAGAGGTAGAGGTAGAGGTAGAGGCAGTGGCAGAAGCAGGGGGATCTCTGGGTTTGAGGCCTGCTTGGTCTACAGAGTGAGTTCCAAGACAGTCAACACTACAGAGAGAGACCCCATCTCAAAAAACCAAAACAAAATAACAACCAAAATTGGGGCTGGAGAGATGGCTCAGTGGTTAAGAGCACTGATTGCTCTTCCAGAGGACCCTGGTTCTATTCCCAGCAATCACAGGGCAGCTCACAACTACCTGTAACTCCAGTTCTGGGGATCTGACACCATCACACAGGCATACATAAAGGCAAAACACTGATATACATTAAATAAATAAATAAATAAATAAATAAATAAATAAACCTTTTAAAAATAATTTCAATTACCTCTCAAATAGTTTATTTTGTTGTATTTTACCTCATAAGTTTACTATAACTCTCCCATTAGTGATTATTGCCAAGTGAACAGAAATTGATTTTAGGAAGAGAAACTATGGCCGTTTCCTTCCTTCTCCTGTTGGCATTAGACTCCCCCAAGGAGAGAAGAATTGGCTGGAAGGCTGGGGAAGAGAGGAATGAAAGGGTTTACATTTGTGGACCTCTTGAGAGTCTCTCAAACATGATTGCATTGTTGACACATAGAAATCTATGAAGACAACTACAATCAACATCGCAAAAAGTGTAAGTACCTAGAGTAAGGTAAACGACTCTTCCTAGGTGAGCCAGTAGTAGGTCAGGGGTCTAGGCCACCATACTATTAGGCATCTGTGTGACCTTCAGTGAGTCATTTATCATCTCTGGACCTGAGTTTCCTATCTGTAAAACCCACTGGCACTCTATCTGTCTACTGGTCTGGCTCTGAGATCTGAGATGGGTGCAGAGTCAGCCCATCCGAGATGTCAGGTGTGAGGACATTCTTTGCCTCATGTCACAGATTCCTCCTTCTTCCAGAGGCTTGTAGGACTCTTAGGCTCTACTACTGTCTTGTAGGTGATATCGTGCCTCTGGAGAAGGAGGCAGGAGTGACCCATAGTCAGTAGGGCGATGCTGAGGCAAATGGTTTGCTTTGGACCAGTCTTTTCCTTAAGCCCTTGGATGCTTTTTTTATGTCAGACTCACTTCATTTTAAGCTTAATTATGAGACTCTTTAAAGTCTGTTTCGTAAAACTTGTAATATAATTGGCCATTGATAAAATGCAAAACACTTTTTTAACTAGAAGGCTATTGATGATACAAAAAAGTATAAAGACTATAAAATAACTACTACTAATTTCAAAATATAGTTAGAATTTTCTTTTAGAATTTGCCTATTCTATTTTTTCTATTCTATTCTATTGACTACTCTATATTTAAAGAAAATATTTACTCACTAGTTATAAAGCTTTAGTGTTTGAGAATGGTGAGATATTTGGAACTGCAGTCAAATCTGAAGAGTGAAGAGCTCAGAGTGGGCAATACTGTTTCTGACCTAAGAGAATCATAAGGAAGTAACACTGGTAGCAAGATGGCTTCTAAGATGCACTGAAAACAGTTCCATTTAAACATCTACAGGCTCTACAAACATTTGAGCAGGATGCTGGTGTAATTCTCCAGTACAGAAACCATTGTCTTTATCTATTTCTGTTGACCGTTGCTTCTCCCAACTTGACTAGAAGTTCACTGAGGGCAAAGGGAGTCTTCACAGCAGCATCTGCAATGTGCATCACGTGATGCCATGTGTGCCCGGCAGTTGCTCAATGCCATTTGGCTGACCCACCAAACGAACAGAATGTAGGAAATCGTCCTTCACCAGCTCTCAGCAACTCCTGAAAAGATGCTGACGATGCTTGTGCAGATGAACCACACCCTCCTCCCTGTATTCCCTGCTTTGGGCTGCCATATTGGTTTCACTAGAGGGTGGGACACACAACATTCCATGCCAGTTGTACCAACCATGGGAAAAATCCCACAGGCACATGGTTTTCTCACACTGCAGATCACTATTACCGTGTTTCCCACTCTCCTCCACTCTAAATCTGGACCCCCATTTGGTTTTTCTCAGTGCGCGGCTGATTATATGTCTGGCTCCAATATCAATTACTCTACTTCCTCCCTACTCAGCCCCCTCCCTCTGCCAAATCCTCGTGTGTGCTCAGCTCTTCCCTGTTCCCATAGCCTCTCCTGAACTGAGAGGAGACGGGACAAGCCCCAGCAGCTACCCTGTCATGAGTCATGTCTGCAGTGTTGCCAGCAAAGGAGTGAAGAGGGTTGGGCCTTGGGGCTCAGGGAAGAAAAGGGATTTTCAGTGGTTGTCAGAAAATGGGCACAGGGAGGTGTGGGGGCTGTTTGGGAACATTAAAGGCAAGCGAGACAGCTAAGAATTGAGTTAATTATCTATAAGAAAATGTTAGGAAGTCACGGGCTGTATGAAGTATTTTAGAAACACCTCCTCCCACATTTCCATGGTTACGATCTTTGTTTGATAACACGGTTAATGTAGCATGATATCTACACATGAATGAAGCAGAAAAACTGGTAGCATCAGTTTCATTTTTGTGGAGGGGAACACTGATGCTCGGACTTTACCGATTTCATCCAGAGTCTCAGCAGAGAGTAGAAACAGTTTAAGCTCTGGCCTGGGCACATGGAGCATGTATATCATTAGCATGGTTATTCACTCGGATCAATAGGTCCAGTTGTTTGCCTTCTGGGGGCTTTACCCAATCCCTTTATTCTGCATCACTAAGGCAGTTTCTGAATCTCTCTGGACACCACTCTTTGTGTTAAAGCCCTTTCGCATGTATGAGCACTCCTCAAGCTTATTCGGTTTGATCCTCTAAGTGTATGTTATCCTGAGAGTGACAGCCAATATAAATGATCAAAAAAAAAAAAAAAAAGAACAAGACATGAATTTGTAGCAGACTGACTGAGATCATCCTTTTTGTTCGTCTGCAATCTGTAACATCCATGAGAGATACAGATTAAAAAAGGAAATCAAGTCACAGCAAGAGAACACCACTCTTCCCAGAGGACCCCAGGACCTTCAGCAACTTGGAGTGGCATCCGTGGCCATTTGTTCTCAACAGATGCTGCCGATCCTGTATCCCCTAGAAGACCCAGCCCCAGCTTTGCTTAGAGGTGTATCTTTTATCCTGGTCTGTTTAATGTTTTGGAGGCCTCACAAATGAATTCTCAAGAACAAAGCAGGTTAATGTTGAAATTAGCAAAAGTAAACAGAAATCATGGAACTTGAGGACTCTGGGGAACCTTGGGTGCTGTTTAGCTCGATATCCCTGGTTCTGGAATAGGACAAAACGTGTGCTGGTTCACATGACTGTACCCAGAGCACCCAGCACAGTGTTTTGTACAGAGCCCAGCTCCGTAGGTTCAGGAAGTAGACAGGTGGGTAGAGGGAGTTGGGGAAGACAGAGCCAGGACCAGGATTAAAGGATCTAGAATTATCTCCACCCACATTAATTTTTTTAAAACCTTGCGAGTTGTTATCTGCCTTTTATGTCTATTACTTCATTTACTCTTGCCAATAAACCCAAGAAGTCTTTGTTATATCTGCTTGACTTGTGAGGAGCTTGAGTCCTGGAGGTCGAAACCCAAAGACACAAGCTCAGTGAGTGGGAGCTTGAATCTGAACCCAGATTTCTCTGACTAGGAAACCCAAGCAAAGCTTTACTCCTAGAAGGCTGCCTTTGCAGGGGCTGCTGGAATACCACGCTCTCCTGGTCTCATAGGACTTTCTGAGCACTTCTTTGATTACCAGTACATATGAAAGAAAAAAAACTTCACAATTTCCCCTGAAAACCTCTGTCTGCAAAGGACCTCCAGAATTCAGACTTCTCACATATTCTGATCAAGTCAGAAAAACTTGGAAATAGACTCTTTAAAATGCTTTCCCTAAAATGTTCTCATAAAATACTCAGAAATACCCAATCAGCATCAAAAGAGATTGCACATAGTCCCTTATGAGGCAGTGGCCAAGCCAACAGTCCTGGTCAGATCTGCAATCCTGACTTGCTGTCTGAAGTCTGCATTTCTTTGTTTGAGCAACCAGTGAAAACTTTCTCCATCAGGAACCCCAGACCATGCCCACAGACATTCCAGATCTTTCAGGCTGGGAACAGTTCCTTACCGGATATCCCCATGAGCCATTGCCTGCCTGGAACTTGGAGAAGTAGCTGCTTCTGCTCGTGGTGCCATAGTTGTTGTAATTGTCAGCCAGCCCATCATACATGGAGCCTGGAGGGCAGAGAAGGAAGGTTAGGGCAGGGATGACCATTGTCTTCACCCATCCCTCCTTCCTCGGTATCACCCACAACCATGTCCACCACCTCTGTGGAGAGAAACAGTCTGGGTTCCCACAGAAGAATGGAAAATGGCTTGTCATCTGGTGGCCATGCCATCTCTTTCCTTATCCACTATAGCCAGGGCCCACCCAGCAAAGAACTACCGGCCAGCTCTTAGACCCCTTGGGAGACATTGGCACCTACATGTCAGGAGCTGTCCTGGAGAGCCTTGGAGAACAGTAGTTCCCACCCAGGGAATCACAAGTCCGCGTTCCACAAAAAGGAGCTGCCCACTTGGGGAAAGAAGGCAGGATCTCGACATTCCAGGTTCAAATCGCTAAGGTCAGAGCCTTACAGCAGTGCAAACTGTTTAGAGTCCGCTTCTGTCAGGACTGTGAATTCAAACCTGAGCCCAACCCCCCACAGATGATCAGGTAACCTGCCCCTTCCTTCTCCTCTGAGGTCCTCTGGCTGGTAAACGGGGAACAATGATCAACCTCAAAGGGCCAGTGAGGATTAATTAATGTTTTCACAGTGCTTGGAGACCCACAAATGACAGGCTCTGTGGAGGACAGAGTGTCATTAGGGTTATTAGCGGCAAAGTGGCTTTGAATCACAGAAAGCAGGCTGGATTTGGGGTTTGAGCAGGAACCGATCTTCCTTCTCTCCTTCTCAGAATGGCAGAAAGGTGTGTGTGTGTGTGTGTGTGTGTGTGTGTGTGTGTGTGTATGTGTGTGTGTGTGTGTGCAACACAGCATCAACCTCAAGCAAGCTGGTCTGTTCGAGATCCTAATGTCATGAAACATTGGTCACAGTGACATATCATTCCCCGTGATGCATCTGACTTCTCTCCTGAGCAATACCCTTCATATTCTACACAGCTCTCAAAGCCAGGGTCAACACCTCATCTTCAGGAAGCCCTCACTGAGCTCCCTGCTCACAGGAATCTCTCTAGTCTCTGATCCAGCTGCTGTACCCCAAGTCATGAGCTACCTGGCGTCCTGCTCCCTTGGCTACATTGGAAGTCCATGAAAGACAAGCCCATGGTTCTCCGGCCTTTGTTTCCATAGCAAGGCTTGCTCAGACTCATTAAACGTAGCCTCTGGGAGTAAAGGCTCGCAGGCGGTGAGAGCCTTCTGAGAGGGATGTGCATTCCTTTCCTCCAAGGTGATATTTGGAATCCCCCATCAGAAACCCCGTCTAAGGAGGAAGGCTGGACCTTGACCTCCCTTGAATCCATTAACCCTTCCACTTCTGCCTTAGCCACCCAGCTTTAGGTCATTCTCTGGGAACTAGATTATCTGAATTGGGCAGGAACAAGAAAGACAGTTCAGAATTGGGCCAGCATCCTGCTTAGGGCCACCTCCTCTGTCCCAGTGCAAGACCCATAACAAAAAGCGTTCCCTTGTCTCCAATTCCTCTTCTTGGAGGGTGGACAGGGCATAGGAATATTGGCTGTGACAGTTTTCCCCAGAAGCCTAAATGTGTTAAAATTGGTCCTGGCCTGGCTCAAACACTCTCTGGGCCTCAGCTTCTTTTTTCTGTAAAAGTTTCCTTCTCTGTATCCTAAACGGTCCATACACTATGAGAGCTCCATGCTATGTGAATATAGTGACATATGCCTGATGCATCCGGAGAAAGTTCTCTGAGATAAGGTTCTGACAACTAAGACTGACCTCCATCTCGCCTGCCTCCTGCCTCAGGGTCCTCCCAGAGGCCTTCCATCCATAAAGCCCCCAAATCCCACCCCACAGGTCCCAGATCCATTCCTTCCCCTAAAAATGAAGTCCTGGGATTCAGACTGGTCCACAAAGCCTCTGACTTACTCCCAGTCCTCTGCAGGTACAGTAAGTTTGTTCCTAACCCTTTCCAAAGTGCAGCTGCTCCTCTGGACAAACTGTGTTGCCATAAGGAACAGGAGGAAGCCTATGGACTTGGTCACTAGAGAAGGGATCCCAGCCAGGCACAGATGCAATCAGGAGTCCAAGGAGCTGACGTCCAGGTCTCGCCCGCCTTGATCCAGTCCGTGTCTGTCATCTTTTCTAAAGCTTGGCAGGCCAGTGTCTACTTGGCTCTCATCTCTTGAGCAGGCATTTCTCCCCAAAGGGCAGGTAAGGGTCGGCCAGCTACTGCCAGATGGAAACTCTGGGGTGGTGACAGATACTTCAACAAAGCCCCAGGGATGCCTCCTACTTTAAGAATCATCTCCTGGAGGCTCCCACCCAGGCCTCCACCCCAGTGAGAGAGAATCTACCAGCATGACCTGATCTCTGTAGGTCATATAAAGCTTCTCTCCTTTCCATGCCCTTCACCAGCCTGGCTGCCCTCTTGTACAACCTCCAGGTCAAGTAGGAACTGTGCCACAGAGGCAAAAATGGATATGTGGACACACAGACAAATGGAAGCAGAAGATTCGATACTCTATTCTCCCCAGAGCTAGTCCCCATGCCTCCAAGTGATTCAGGTGAAAACTGCTCTGAGCCATAATTCTCACTTGCTTGGTTCCTTCCCAGGCAACCTCAGAAGGCGCCCTTCAAACCTATCTGCAGTTAGGGAGCTCCTGGATCCTTGTGAGAGGGAGGCAACCATTATGGCAGCCAGCACAGCTCTCCTGGCAGAAGGCAGACACACAGCTATAGGGGTGGCAAAGATGGGGAGGAGTCTAGAGAGATGACCCATCCGGAATCATGCCTAGCAGAAGCCAGGGAGTAAGTGGGGATGGTGAGCTCTCTCTATAATAGCACTGTTCTCTCACCTTCCACTCTCCTGACCCCTGGGTGCCTGGATGGTAAGCTCTGCCCCCTAGGAAAAAAAAAACAACAGCAAGAACACAGTGCTTCTCTGCAAGTGTAACCATGACCTCTCACTGCCCTCCTGATCGCTCCAGTTCTGCAAAACGTGCTCCTGGGAAGCCTTTCATGGCTGGCCATACTTACGTCTGCTGCATATATGGCTCCTGCCTGTACTATTTCTAGCATTGGACACTCCGGGGACCTTTACAAGGCCAGAGTCATACCTCTGCTTTCCTAGGATACTACACACAAGTCACCACTCTAGTTGTGGCTTGGCTGAACTGCCCTGAGCTGGACATTTTGGGGCTACTTTTTCTCCCCTGTTCAGTCAGCCCTGTGGGAAAGGTACTCTGGTAACTAGAGGCTTAACACCCACATTTAATGCCAAATGAGATTAGAGTCTTAGAATTCTACCAACCAGGGGTTCTTCTACCTCAAATGTTCTTTGAGGGTAGTGTTAACTGGAACAAGAGAGGAGGCTGTATGAAATTACAAATGCCCAAGTTCATGTCCTTGAGAAGGATTCTTTATCCTGGGTGTGGAAGTAAAGGGAGAATATCTGAGCATCCAGTTACCCCTAAGAATCATACTGACAAGCTGTCCAGTCCTGTCCTGCCTTCCCATTGTTCTCTTCATGGGCTCATTTGCTATGAACAAAATGATGGCTTCTTGGCGAAGCTGGCAGCCATCTCCACGTGGTCATCACCATCAGAACACATCTGCCTACACACGGAACCCAGTGGCTTAGAATATCACAGAGTTTCCCTGATCTACAAGCAGTGGGAGTTGTTTGTCTCAGTCC